CTGAACAAACCGAACAGCGGATGAACAGCAATCGATCTGCGCACGCAAGGTGCTATTTCATTTCTTCTTCTGGAGAAACCAAAGAGAGCTTCAAAACAAGACTGCAGCGCCATCTGAAGCAAAGAGTGGACTTTCAGTGGACACTTTTTGGGCTTAGTGGACCATCTTGTCATGTACTATCTTTGACGAACAGTACCAGTTACACTCCAGAAATTTTTTACTTTTCTTAAAATGTTATGTCTAAGTTTTGTAAGTTGACTGAATAACAGGAACTACTTCTCGTAATTGGGTTATAAGAATAATTTCTAGCTTTCCAGTGACAGTGAATCAGCACCAGACTTTTCCAGCTTTTATTTTCATTTCTATGACCATTTACAATAACTGACCATGTTCTGATTTCTTTACATTCATAAGTGTCCGCGCATATTTCCGATACATAAACTAAGAATGAATGTGTTAGCAGTCATTATTTTTATTCCATACAAGTTTTACACAAGTTTGTGTTTTTAAAAAATTTGTATATCTTTTTTAGTTGTATGCAGGCTGCCACAGACATAGCATGATTCATGAACAAACGCAGAGTAACTTTCTCTTGTTTAATGGTAAAACAAGAGCTAATGCTGAGTGTCTTTAGTTAAAAAATGCAGATGTGCATCTTTCTTCTCTTGTAACTTGATTATTATTACTTACGCAGATTTAAGATTTCTCATGCTAAAAGACATGATATTCGTAGTCAGTTGAACACAGATTTCGGAGAGATGTTGTGCTGTTTTAAAATTTAAAAAATCATTTATTCATAAGTTTGTGACTAAAATAGGACAAATTGGGTACTCTACAAACACTTATTTAGAAAATAACCTAAGGCACAGAAATTAACCATTCTAAGGCAGAATAAATAAGACATTGGCCTTTTAGTACATCAATGTAATGTTGTAATGGTTTTACTGCGTGGGATAGGGAAGAAATTGTATCGTTTCAAACGAAGACGAAAATGCGAACTTCTTTACTGGCACCGGCAAAGTTGCTTCACGGCTCATTAACCCCCTGACCCCGAGCTGGGGAGCTCCGGCGGGCTGCTGAGTCACGTTAACTTAACTCACTTCAGACGGGTCACACAATAGTTGCGTGACCCCCGCCATGACGCTCGCGACGGGTCTCACAAGCCCTGCGTGACCAACTTTGGAATTTTTTTTTCGCTCTACAAATCACGCACGGATCGCGAGACCCGCCTCGTACCCTTGTTTGGCCAAGCCTGAGCTACTTAGACTTCGTTTCGTATCTCTGGGGCCGGTAGTTTTTAAGTTATTGAAGGTGAAGGACAGTGACCCCAACTGGGGTTGAACAGATCGGAACTCGCGCTTTGTTTTTTTCTATACAGCTCATAGTAATCCGACAGTCGCGTCGTAGTGACGGTCGAAGAAGTCGCATGAACAAGAATCACATAATTTCGCCGTTTTCTATACTTCTGTGCGTTTTACTAGTTCTAGTGTCTCAGAATATGATGTGTCTAATAGTTAGGATCCTGGATATGTACCCGAACACGGCCCGAGTCGTAGTTCTAGGGCTAGATCTAGCACTAGTACCGGTGTTGTTTTTCGCGCAACGAAATCACAACGTCGTGCCGTACATCTGTCTCATGTAATTCAGTGTATGGATCTGAATCAATGCACAGACCAGCTTTTATATTTTCACCAAACACTTGCACATGTATACAAATCAAACCAGAACACTTTGAACTTTTATTTTTGTTGTTGCAGTGAATTTCATTCTACTTGTCACGTCTCTGGAAATTCTGAAGATCAAATTCATGCCAATTTTTAAAAAATCATACAAATTAAAGTATTAGACTTACACAACTTTAGTTTTTTGTATTAGATTAAGCTTGAATGTTACTTTACTGTGTCAAAAAATGATTACAATAGGGTAATTCTGAGAGTTGTGGTGATTTATTGAAATACCCCCCAAAACGCCAGTCTTCAACGCTTGTGACTGGTGAAAGGGCCCAGTCGCAAGTGAGTTAATGTCACAGAATCAGGCGAAAAGTGATGCTGAGCTTGATGAACGGCCATATTGACATTATGAGAAACACAAACTACTCTTCCTCTATTAGATATTTTAAGGAGATAAACAAAAAACCACCAAAATCAATCAATAGGGTTGGTGATTTTTATTTTTTTTAAATAAAAATTTTAAAAATCGATTTTTTAAATTTAAATCAGATTTTTTTAATTTAAATCGGATTTTTTTTTTTTTCTCATGTCCACTCAGTTTGGGATTTTTGGTGGCTAAAAGTATGTTTTTTTAGTGCAAAATGCATTGTCTTTATTTTAACTAATGATTAATTTAAACAACTGCAATTTTAGAAAGCCTTAATCTGCTATCAGTGAATTATGGCTACAGACAAAAAATGAAGAAAATGTCAGTCTAAAAGGAGGGGGGGGGGTAATTATGCATAGATAAACTTGCATTTTATTTTTATTACAGTGTGTGTGCGAGCACGCGCTTGTGTTTGTCTAAAAAGAAAAAGAAAATGCTAATTTCAATTATGAAAAAAAAGTAAATTTTGAATACTGTATTATTTTACTACTTACAGTGACAGGGGAAAGCAGACTTTTAAGCAATTTTAGTCTACTAAACCTTATATCTGTTTTATAACCCAGGAAAGGAATTCTGAATGTTTAAAGATGTAAAAACAGAAAACATTTTTTAAAGTGATTTAAATCACTGAGTTTTATTTTTTAAATCAAGTTGATTAAAATTTTTTTTTTTAAACTGATTTAAATCGTCGATTTAAATCAACCCAACCCTGGTTTTCAGTTATGAAAAAAAAATAAATTGAGAACAGTATTATTTTACAGTGACAGGGGGGAAAGCAGACTTTTAAGCATGATTATATTAGTCTTCTGAACCTTATATCTGTTTAAAATAAAACCAAGGAAAGGAATTCTGAAAGTATAAATATGTAAAAACTGAATACATTTTTTTGAAAAGTGATTTAAATCACTGATTTTTATTTTTAAAATCAAATTGATTAAATTTTTTTTAAAATCAACTGATTTAAATCAACCCAGCTCTGGTTTCAATTATGAAAAAAAAAGTATATTGAATACTGTATTATTTTACAGTGAAAGGGGGGAAATCAGACTTTTAAGCATGATTATATTAGTCTTCTGAACCTTATATCTGTTTTATGAAACCAAGGAAAGGAATTCTGAATGTTGAAATGTGTAAAAACCGAATAAAATTATTTTTTAAAAAGTGATTTAAATCACTGATTTTTATTTAAAAAATCAAGTTGATTTAAATTTAAAAAATCAACTGATTTAAATCAACCAGATTTAAATCAACCCAACCCTGTCAATCAACAATAAATAACAACAATAAAGGAAACCATCACTAACACAATATTTTTTAACGCAAATTAAGATATTTGCATTGAAGTTTTAAGGCAATTAAAATCACGACAAATAGAGGCAATACATTCAAGTAATTAATCAACTTGAATAATTTCAGTGCTTCCAACAAATAGAGCAGAAAACTTCAGAAAATTCTATGCTGGGTACCCGGAGGCTGCACAGGCCATGGCAGGGACCAGGGACAGTGGTTATTGAAAAAGTGAGAGAAAAACTTCTTGGTCTTAGTGGGCCCACTATTCAATTTGTTCACTGATGAACGTTGCTGGCTGAACATGCTGCCAAAAGCGTAATTGGAAGCATGCGTATGTATATTAGACTTTTATGTTTCCCTTGCCATCAATGTTTAAGGGGAGGAGCGACCCTTGATTTTGCAGATTTTGGGTCAGGCTATGCACATTTTATGTTGGCTGATTTTTGAAGATCCACAAGTTTTTTTGTCTAAAAATAGCATGGATTCAATTGAGAAAGACTTTATTCTACAGGTAATTTGCCTTTAAAAACATGAGGATGGATTAATATAGTGAATTTTCACAATTATTGTCGGTTTTCGCAAAATGTAATTTTTGTGCAGTTTTTTCCCTACTCCTTCCTTAGTTTTCATCCTTTTGACATGAAACTTTCAGGAAACATAGTTGGCAAGGCTTCCATCAATGTAACAGAAAGATATTTGCGAAAAAAAAGTAACACTTTTCCTTTGGCAAGCGATTACGCAACCTAAATTTAGAAAAAGTTTTTTATACTTTGGGAAATTTCTCATAATTTTTTTTCTTTTGCACGTATTGAAAAAAACTTGCTGTTACTCTGATAGGGTTTGGTTCAGGTATACTCTCACCAAATTTGGTCTGTAAATAAGAAAGCCTTAGGGATTTCAAATTCATTGTTTATTTTCAAGATGGCGGCCGTTTCCATAGCAACCGTTGTAGCTATGCCAAAATAAAATTGCTTATCAAGAGATTTTACTATGTCTAACTTATATGTGTACTTAGATTTGATCTTGAGCAACAAACATAGAAAATGGTCCTCAAGGGTAGCTCCTCCCGTTAAGCAAGTTCCCATTCCATTGCCACAAAAATTCAATTTGACAGTAGGCAAATTACAGATATCAATCTTCATGCAACAAATGTGTACTCTTAATAATTCTCCTGTTTCATCACAGAGAGTTACCATACACATCCGAACTTGTCCAAGAACATACATACGACGGAAAACACAGATGAGGGCAAAATGGCACTTTCTGTATTCTGAACAATTTTTCTCAGAAATGGGATAACTCTGTGTGTGTAACTTTAGTTGATATCGTAGAGTGAAGTTTCGAGAAGCTGGGACAGCAACATTTTTGTGAGTTTTTACATTTTGTGAAAGTTGTGGTTTTGTGAAGTTCCTGGACCCATGGAATGACGACAGACAATGTTTACTTGACAACAGAACACATGGAGAGAAGGGTAAGTTTAATTAATTTTTTTCATAATTTTTAATAGTAATTTGGTAAGAATTTGTTCTAGAATGATAATAGTACGATTTGGCATTAAAAACATGAAATTAATCACCATTTTCAAAAAAATATTTTTAAAAATCCTAATTGCCTGCATTGTCGGCATGTGTATGTCGTTTTTTCACGTAATTCTAATTTTGTTAGTTTTAGCATATTTTTTTTTCTAGTTGCCATTAAACATGTTTTGACACTGTTTTAATCATAACTGCGATAATTTGTATTTTAAAAAGAAAGAAAAATAAATTTTAAAAAGATTTACGGCTATTCATTCACAATCATTCGGGTTTCCGTCGCTCGTATTCTATCGGGTGAACAAACTGGAATTTACGATCACGGCACAACGATCTCGCAGTAATTGTCCAAAACGAAGTTTTTAACAGTTTTAGGCCATAGATTCATTGTTTCTCTTCCCTTTCTAACATTTATTGCTAAATTAAGTTTGAAAAACCGCATTTTTCATGTCTGTCATGCACCGGTCGGACTTTGCGCAGGTTGAACAAACAAGACTCGTGAACAACAAAATGAGGCTAAATCTAAGTCTTAAACGCGATTTTCAACCCAAATATCACTAAATGTAAGTCATTACCCATGCTAGTTTCATTTTCAGCGTAAATAAATCTTTAAATTGCTCCTCGATGTGAGATAATCGCCTAAATCTAATTTTTTCGTAAGCATGACACGAAATCGGCGCGAAGGCAAGAAAATGGCGGCGCGTGATCCGAAAGGGGGAGGAAGGGGGGACAGCATTTCAAAGATTTTTGTGTCGCGATATTCAGAATAGAATAGATAGGCCTCGATCTACTTGGATTAGCTTTCAATGAATTTTAGTTAGTTTTTTTTAATATTTTAAATTTATTTTAATGAACAAGAAGAGAAGACAGCCAAAATGAACTGTGGAAACATGCAATGTCAATATAGACATAGAATGGAAATAGGAGGGGGGGGGGGGGGGGGAGGGGAGACATGTAAGAAAAAATAATACTATGTAGAGAAACTTCCAAATAAAGAGGGGAACCAAGGCTTTTCCAAAAAGTTGGAATTTTAAGTTTAAGGGGGGGGGGGGGGGGGGGGGCGCACTCCAATACAGACAGGATTCATAAGACAATGATTATTTATTTGACAATGAGGAGATTCCAGAAGATATGATGATTTAAAGTCAGTCTTTATATACATGTGTGTCTCCAGACCTCTTTGATTAACTTCACAATCCTTGGAACTGTTTGTGGTCAAGCCTTCTGAATGGCTGTTCCATGAATATAAGTTGTCAGTTACCAAAGATAGTGAACAAAGAGTAAAATCTAGACACAACAGAAAGATGTTTCTTTAGGAGACTGCTGTTTCATATTATGAGGAAAAGAAATCAAATAAGGTTGTGCAGAATGCGAGAAAGAAGGCCTACAAGGGACTCACTAATAAATACAATAAGAAAGAGACAAATGTTGGTGTGGTACATTCAATTGACTTTTTAAAAAAGCCTAGAACATCTACTACTTACTGAAAGAATAGAGGCCAAAAGAGGCAAGGGTGGGCATATTCTGCCATGGTTAGTAAACGGCTAAAATTGTTAGTTCCGATTGAAATGTAACAAATCAGATCCATAATATTTTTTACAAATAATAGATGATTTTCCCAACTAAGTTCTTTATTTCTCAAGGTGTGTTATTTGATTTTTTTCTGTAGGTTAAGGTTAAAATGCTCGAGGAAGATGACTTCAGTGTGAGATTTATGGAAAAGAGCAGCCCCAGCGACGTCTTTTCCAAGAGCAACAATGTTGGTCTAATCACAAATAAGGGATCACTAGACTTCTTCACCTGGACAAATACAAAAGGACTAACAAGAGGCATTAGATCTCAAGGCCATTATTCATTTTTCCATTTTTTTTCTCATGTCTACTCATTAATTGGTGTAATAAATATATTTGTGTAAACCGTGCATTGGTCGGCTTCATTTAATTGTCTCCTCTTTTCATAAATTCTCGAATTTTCTGCTTGTTTTTGCTGATATATGCTCTGAGTATATCAGGATGGGTCCTGCTTTCAGTTTGGAAGACATTCTTGCAGAGATAAGCAATTGAAATCACTTTTAAGTGAGTAAATTGAACTTATGTTAATTAAACGTTTACACCTGGGTACCTGTGATTACACGCCTTTTATTACATAACGAGACAGCTGTTGCCCATGAGATAAACATTTCTGAAATCTACAGGGTTTGAGCTTAATTTTGATACGATATTCAATACTGTGCATTCATTTTGAAAAATTGCCAAAATAGGCCATTTGAAGTAGATGCCAGCATTGCATGTGTCTTTTCCGCCATACGCAAGAATGGATCCTTTGTTATGACATACCTGTTAGTCTATAATATAACACATTTTTATAGACAAAGTTGGTATGATGAGACCGCAAGGCAAATATAGGACTTTAAGGACGTTTGTACTTCTGAAAAAGTTTGGAAGCACTGAAATTTACATACTTATTATAATTATTACTTTTGCCATACATATTATTTACCCTCTTAACACAGAAAGTAATGTATACATACTTGTCCACATGTTGCTTCAAGAAACTGAGGTCTTTAAGAGCTTGTAGAATATCAAGTGGGCACAGACCAGTCTTCTCACTGATGGCTGGAGAAAAAACAAAACAATATGAAAGAAATTGTTTGAACTCCAATCACATTTCTTCATAACTCAGTATGCACAAAACAACAACAACAAAATCATCACTTCAGAGAATCAAGTCTTTCTTCAACATATATTGAAGTCACAGTTCCAGTACAAAAACAAGAACTCCCGACACCTATTGTAGTACAGAGGTGCCAGTGCAAAGAAAATGACATGTATGTAGTTGGTGGGTGCTCAGGTGTGGTTTGCTCCTTCTTTCCTATCAAACATCTATCGTCCTTATCTCTCCTCCTCCTCTTTTTATGTATGTTACTCTCTTGTAACACATCAATTTTCGACATTTATACCACCTGACTATGTTGTAAGTGCTGTAAAACTCTTACGAAAACTAAAACATAATGACATTTTCACTTAAAATGGAATATAAACTTAAATCTTAATATACATGCTTACGCACATTTGTGGAAAATTGCAAACCAGTTGGAAACTATCACAAAATAAAATATTAGCAAGAGCTAGAACAATCTATCTGGAAATTCTGAAGATCAGCACTGACCAATAAAAATAAACAGAGCACACATGGAAGCAAAATATGAAAAGCATAGATTTGCTTCTGCCTGCAAGATGCTTCTTTCAAAACCAACATAAAACAAAACCTTACATTTGATTGTCACAGTCTTGTCCGATACAGCACTGAGCTGTTCCAGTACCACACTGCGCCAGTACGCTTTGTAGCTGATAGCACCCAGAGCTGAAAGCGGCTTTTCAGGCGATCCAGTGCACTCCTCTTTCCTGGTCAAAAGGTAACCTATGAGCAAATATAATTCAATCATGAGACACAACGTAGACATATAATTTCTGCATAGAACATCAGGTTGGACAAACAATATATTCCCCCTTTCCCTACACATTCCCCATGTCAACATACTTCAATAAAATGAATATCTATTACAGTCGCATCATCTTGAGAAACATGGGAAGTAATAAGACATGCAACTATCTCTTGAGCACATTCAACACGCAATTTCAACATCATCTGGTCCAGTCATTCCCATGAACGTTTATCCGGGAGCACTAGGAGGCTGGTACACCAAGTAAAACATATGCATAGCTTTAAAAAAGATAGTGAAACCCCAACCCCCCAAAAAGAGGGACATAAATTTGTCAGTGTATTTAAAACCCAGAATTGAGAAACTGCATGGGGGGCCTGTTCTCATATTTTCCAGTCCTCAATGCAGATGCATGCTAGACCCAAAAAACAGGGGGGGGGGGGGGGGGAGAGACAAAAACCCACTCACATGCACAGGATCCAAAACATGTTGAGGTAATTATACTTACTGAAATCGATGAGAAGTCTCCCATATCCTTTTCGCATATACTGAGGCATGGTCATGATACACGAGACATTATACTTCTGCTGGCAATGCTTTTCCTGTGTTGGAAAAAAAAAGGTATTCACAACATTTAAGTACACTAATACTCACTGAACATTATGTTTGTATTTTTTTTTGGTGGGGGGTGTCATGTAGGGGTTTTTAGGCCCCCCAATAACACAATCTAGATCATTTAGGACGCAGGCTTCAGCCCTGCCTGTCAGGGCCAACCTGGGCCGAGAGACAAAATTTCCTAAGCAAAAAAAGAGGATAAAAGTAGACAACAAAAATTCTTCCCCCATTGCAATCAAACTCGCCTTACCACTACACCACAGACACCGGTTGTTTGTCAATCTCATGTACATACTAAATAAATAAATGACATTGTTGATAACTATAAGAAGCCAGCACATTTGAAGACAAAATATGAGCACAAGCATTCGAAGCTAAAAGGTTTTAAGAAAAAACACAATTAGACAATGTACATATTTTATGTTAAAAAGTAAAACCCTAGTAGCAGAAACAATTTTGAGCAAAGTTCAAAATTGTCTCAAAGAGACTGATTAAATTTTTTCTTCTTCTAAAGCTTACACCATTTTAACACAAAAGAAAAAAGTAACAAGAGACTCTTGTTTTCATTTCACGTCACATTATAGGCACAGGTAAGTAAGTAAAGCAAACCTCTCAGTATTTAAATAATGTAAAAAAACAACAACCCAAAAACAAACAAAACAAAAAACAACAAACAAACCCCCCCCAAAAAAAACCCAAATGTTCCACCGGCATGAAACCTGGCAAAACATTCTAAAAAATTATTTTAGGTATGCTTATCAATCTCAAAGTAAACATAAGACAAAATACTACATACCTTTGAAAAATACCCCACAACATGACTTCCATACTGATCGTTGAGAGTTAACACATAGAATAAGAAAGGCTCCACATCATAATAAAGAGTCTTGTGATCCAGGAAGAGTTTTGCCAGCAAACACAAATTTTGGCAATACAACTTGCTGATCTGACCATCAACTTCAAAGACCGACATATTTCCACTTCGGTAAATCTCATCAGCAGGTGGGTGGCGAAGTTCACATTTCTCCTGAAGGCAATGAAAAAAACGTGAGTTTAATACAAGAGCGAAATCAGATCACAAAAACTTAATAACTTACTTTATCTATTTGGCACCAGAAGAATTCCTATTTCAATTCACATACAGCTAGGAGGAGTCAAGTCTTTAAATAAAGGTTCACTCTCAAATCCACCAATCTCTCGATCTTCTTTAAAGTTTCCAGCAAAACCCATTCTACATATCAAAACAAAAAAAAGTCTTGACAAGGTTATAAGACAAGCCCATTTCGGTGCATCAGTTAACAGGTATGAAACTGCTTATAACATGCCAGTTTGGTGTTAACATTTTGCAAGAGCACTCTTACATCAGCAAGACTACACTTCATATATTGAGTCAATCCCTTGCAAACCTAGCAGTAAAGTAACACAAACAATATTGGTATCGATATGCGCATTCTTTATTCCCAATTTTGCATTTACCCTGTGGTCAAATCTCAGTACAGAAGTATTAGAGCCAGACGGTAAGTGGGGCTAACCTAAAATGTCTTATATGCCTACAGGAACAGCAATTTATCCAACTTGTGTACAGCACAAAGCTAAAAATCAAGTGTTTTCGTAATGTACCATGTACACCATTAGGCAATTAAGGGGTAAAGTGTGTGACTGTATCATACCTTACAGATACTATAAGCATGCCTAGATCACTGATCTACTGTGATTCCACGAAAACTGGTATATTAAATGGTCGCTTTTAAGCACAAGGGGGGCTATCCCGATAAATGCTGTTTTGAGAAAATCGAAGTTTTTGGATCCTTATTCAGTCTCTACTATAGGTAGGGCAATGCCCACTTTTGGTGTAGGTCAAGATTTCTGGAAACCCCCGAAATCTGGATTAGCCGGCTTGTCCTTAAAAGCGACCAAATTAATTTGACTGTCATGAAAATAAAAAATGTTAATTATGGAGTTGTTTTAGTCAGAGTTTTACGGCATTCGCAACTGCATAAGGCTATATGAGTGCGAAACACAATCAATACATTAATTTCAAGAAAAGAAAAAACTATTTCCAAGAAAGTGGTGCAACTTACAAAATGCCGCTGGAGACTACTGCTTGTTTTCATGTATTTTAGACAGTATTCACATATGTACAACTTAGGCAGGCTGTAAAAAAAACAAAAATGAGAGCATTAGAAATGTTACCCTGGCAACAATATAAAAATATAGAGGAAACATTTCAATACCACTGGTCTAATCAGAACACAAGAAAAAACAAAATCCACTTGAAGAAAACTTCACCTATTCAATATATTCAAATCTTCATCAGCTGTGACAGAAAGAAAAATTTAGCAAAAAGATTTTCTTTGTTTGATGACTTTAAAATACAAAAGAATGAATGCTGCCCAAATTTTAAAAAATAATGCACTTCTGCTAATTCTAAGCACATTAATTTATCCCAACAAGTGTCAACAGAGGGATGTAGTCCTAAAGATCTTTCTGCCCAGGATAAAAGAGTGGACAGGACGAAAAGATGACAAATATTAGAACTGTTGGACCACATACAACTGGAGAGTATTAATTACCACTTTTGACGATACCCAAAATTTAAATGCACCAACCTGGCATATTCCTGAGGATAAGGAGATGAGTACCAGGTCTGTATCTCGTACCGACCCAGTTCTATACATGGAGGATACCTAGGTGCATCAGCTTTTCCTTCTTTGTTTTCCTCTAGGAGCTGTGCAGCAGTAGGGAGACTAGTTCTGGGTTCAACAGGTGGCAAACCCTATTGAAAACAAAAATCAATTCCAATTCACAGCGTTTGAGGAATTGTGGTAATGTACCACAGGTAGCTGCCACCACTTATCTGCAACATTTTCTAAATACACCGGAATGAGAGCAAAATGACATGTAAGCACAAGACAATAAAACCATTCTACGCGTTTGTTGTTGAATTTCATAATTTTCCACAGAGTGCAATCCACAGGGGAACAAGAATGAGAGTCAAGGGAAATTTAATATTGCTATACAAAATACTACATGCTAGAGTGAAACAAAACCTTACTGCAGCGAAACACAAAGACTGAGGCCAGTTATAGATTATACAAAAACATGCAACTAAGTTACACAATTGAGTTTTCTCATTTGTCTTTAGTATGGGGCAGAAAGCAACAATGAAGTAAGTAAACAACACCTGGTACAAAATAAACAGAATTTACTTGCCTTTATTCTTTATTACAAGGTAACTACCTATGAAAATTACTTGAATGAACACTAAAAAGTGATAAGTATAATTGCACAACCAAATACATTTATTGACCAGAAAATTAAGTGAACTGACTGGCCTCAAAATGATTTTACACTTCATTTAGAAAAAAATAATAATTGGGGTTTGACCATACCTGGAACAGGTCCGTTTGAGTTTTTTCCTGAGCTTCTTTGAAGAGAGCAATATCATCTTCTGTCACGTATGATGGCAAAACCATGCCTGCTTTAGTACGAACAGTACCTGAGTGAGGAAAAAAGTTATTTATCGCTCTTGATTAAGACTGAAAAGATCAAATACAAAGAATCACACATCCATCAAATCCATTAAATATAATTGCAAAGCATGACTCTCCAGAAAAAAGGCAGCACACAATTAAAAGAAAAATCAGAAACTGTTTTGCTATCAAAATGCAATTTCAGTCGTAACAAACTAAAAATTATTAGCAAAACAAAATTGCTACAAATATGATAAAAAGTCATTTTTGCTTGGATTGACAAAATTTAATACATTATTTGGATTCCATAAAAGTAAACACATGTTTATTGCTTTTCCCTAAAAATAGTCACATACAAGCATAATGCAGCTAACACTTAATGATAATGCAATACACAAAAGTGTATCTAAAAACCAGATTTGAACATCTTGCAGAAGATCTCGAGATCAATGAATACTATTAAGCATTGAAATGCAACGAAAGTACAGTTGTTAAGTTCCAGGAAAAGTAAAAATCATGGGTTAGTGGTTTAGTACGTCAAAAGAACAAATATACCATACCTTCTTCCAGAATACTACTGAAAAAGTCTATAGATTACCGACTCCAACAAACTATTCAAGGGTATCACTTTCTCATTTTCACTCAGTGCCTTGAAAATGCAATCCAAACCAAATTACAGAGTGTGGAGACAAAATTTCTGTGCTGTCATTTTTCGCTCCAAATACAACAGTCTTAGAGGACATTCTGGTGCACAATAAGTGATGACTACTAAAGCTATGAGAAGGAAAAAAAAAGAGGGAAGAAACAAATTGAGGAAACTCTCAATGTGAACTGCAATGAAGATGGTGACAAAAAGAAGAGAAGACTAATCCCTGCACAAAACCATAGACTTAGTTTAGTTCCAAGACCCATTGAAACCAGAAAAACCCAATATACAGACGCACACACACCATTTTCACTAAATGACATCAGCTCCCCAAACACAAGAGTGGTCAGAACGCTGAAACACTTTGCTCAGTCAAGCGCACACAGATGAAGGTAATATGGACTAGGAATGAAGAAGGGGAAGAAGGGGGACGAAGGCTTACCCCGGAATATCTGGTTGAAGCCCCTGCTTCTGCCACGTCCTCCTCGACCAAAGAATGTCCTGCGCCCTCTTGTGGCCCAAGATCTATGGCGAACTGCTGAGGATTTGGCCCCATATTGTCGGAATTCTTGCAAAGTCATTTGCATCAGTCGATCCACATCCTCCCACCAAGACTGGCGCGATGAAGATGACAGTGAAGAAGCTGGTCCTTGCCTGCTACCCATGGTGTCACGTACACACACACTCAGACTATCACGACTAGTAGTATCACAGATTTTAACGTCACCATCAAGCACATGAGAATTTCCATAGGTTGTTCGTAAATAAGAAAAAGATTGGTTGTCTGTGTTAAGAAAAGATTGTGAGGAGCTTTTTCTGCGCTTAATAGTATTGTACACCGGGAATGTCCTCTTGCGTTCACCTGTTGCATTGAAAAACTCTGACAAGCCATCAAAAAGTCCACGTAACTGGCCACTTAAGGGAGGGCCTTTGGACTTTTTTTGCACTCCACTGGCCTTTAACTTTTTTGAACGTTTGATGAGTCTACTAGCGGCCCGCTGAGATTTGCTTTGCTGGGCCTTAACAGGGGAAGATTGTTTTGAGACAAAGAGTTTGTTCTGCCTTTTACTTTTCACAGCTTCCTTGGCGTACCTCTCCTCGTATTCTTCATCAGAGGACAAGCCAACTATGGGAGGCTGAATAGCACTGAGTGATACCCTTGAAGAGCGTTTACTGGATGGAGTGAAGAAACGAGACAAACCATCAACCAGGTTTTTGGTCTCAGGTAAAACACTCAGAGCCTCCAAGTTACTCCCATTTAGAGCTGTAAACTCACTTGGGGATAAAACATCCTCAGATTTGTCCTCCTCATCATCACCGTCGTCATCATCTGAGTTTACAGAACTCTCAGATTTCTTCTTCCTTGGCCCTTTACTTCGGCCCTTCCAGTTAGCAGCCTTCCTTTTAGCAGCTTGGAATAACCTGCAGCCATTAAGAATTAATGAATTAGAATTCTTGACACAAATTGATAACTATTTTTTGTTTCATATCATTAGTCAGGTGAAAATGCCTCCAAAACCCTAGGAGGAAGAATCATGCAGAACAATACTTATGTATGGTTGAACATAGTCCCTAAAATGTGTTTCATCCATGTAATCTGTGGCACTATCAAGATTTCCAAGTTCTGGAGCGACATGAATGCATAATGTAAATGAATGTCGCACAGATTTCAGCAGAAACCAGAAAATTTTCTATGGGTGACGATCAACTTCATGTAGGTACCCTTTCCTTCTCCCCACATTAAAAATCTTTTGATATAAACATCAAAAGAATGCATGCAAAATCATTCTTGTTATGGATAGCCAGCACTTCAACACTGTCACCAGCCAAAGATGAACAAAAGCATCACTTAACAAACAAAACACCATTGGCATAAATAAGCATTTCTAATTCTTTAAGGGTTATCTAAGCAAAAGGCTGGTTAAAAAGCATAACAAGCAAAAATCAGTATTCTCAGAAGTAGATAAAAACGAGAGCCTTTGACATGCCACTAAGGCAATTCAAACATCTCTAATGTAATGTGTGTATGTTTATTTGTATATTTAGTAGTCATAACTCAAATCTTTTGTGTTGTTATTCTAAACAGTCACATTTATGAAAGTTGGCCCTGTCTATTAAGTCAAATGCATTAGCAAAAATATATGAACAAAGTAAAAACATGATCTTTCAAATAAATAAAACCCATCTGACAAATACAACAAGTGCAGCAACAAATAAGAAACTGTAGGTGCTTCATTGAAGTGTATGCCACTGACATAAAGGACAATCAGTGAATATGGCAGAAAACATCCACAATCAAATGGTAAGAACAAAGAGACACCTAAATCTTTTGAACGATCAACAGCATTTCAGATTTACACCTACCATTTTCATTCATTAATAAAAAGAAAACGAAAGAGTAGTAAGTTACTGTACCAAGGAGTACAACTTATAACCGGGAGTATTCTCAGTCTAATTTATTCTGTAGATAAGGTCAAAGAGAGAAAATGCAGTCTTAGAAAAATGAAAAAAAATAAAAAGAGAGAAAATAAAATAAAATAAAAACATCAGATAAATCCTTAAAAAATCACCTCGCCATGCCAGGAAGACTCCAAATGAACATCAAAATAAAGAGGGAAATTCTGGCCACTTCATTTTTCATTCTGACACATCGGTATTGATGATTATTCTATTTTTAACACAAATTTTACAAAGCGCAACTCCGGTGTTTGAATTCCACCTGCCATTTTTACAATTACACTGCATTCAAACTTTGCAACAGGCATAAATAACCATTCAAAAGATGTGCAAGCATGTGTGTGCAATGATTGTAATTGCCAGTGCTAATGTTGAACATTTGTTGACAATAACATGAGAGACTTGAAAATTCTGACAGCTTACTTGGCTTTCTTGAGTTTTTGTTTGGATGTTGCTTGAAGTTGATTTTTAACTTTGGCTGTGTACTTAAGCGCTGCCTCCAGGAATTCCTTTCCTTTCTTGGTGCCTCGCTCTGGATCACAAAGATTGCACTTCCAGTCCCCTGAAAAACACATGATAACTCCAATGAAAAAGGGTAAATAAGATAAAACTTCCTTTTGTAGGCTTCCCTTGCTACGGTTCAGGGGCAGCTTACAGGAGGTTTTTTTCACTTCAATCTACAGAACCACTGTTATGAGAATATGAATCTTTATTTTACCACAGCTGTGGCCTCCAACGGTCACAGTAGCATCACTGAGTAATAATGCATACGGAACCAAATTTTTTCCCCTATTACCCCCAATAAAAAAACATACTCTTAATTTTTCATATCCAAAGACTAAACATATGAACAAAGAACAGAATCAAACTATTTTAGAAATTGTTTTTTTTAAATAAGTGTTTTACGGCGCTCGCAACTGCATTAGGCCAAAGGAGCACGAAGGACACATTAAACATTTTCCGTTCGTAGGAAATTCTGAATTTTGCCCAGGTGGCGGCCTAAGCCCACTGTTATCGATTTTAGACCACCAAGGGATCTTTAACGTGCACACCTTGCACACGGGACCTCCGAGATTTTTCCACCCTAGTCTGAGAAGGCTAGGTGTAGATCTTTCCTACCAGAAGATAACGGGTGTGGCAGAAAGACAACAGTAAGAAGGAGCCAAGGAGTAGCAGTAGAAAGGCTGCAGAAAGAGTCAGGAGCCAAGAGGAGGCAGCAAAGGGGGTGAGGGGGTGGAGGCAGAAAGTGGAGACAAAAGCAAACGATAAAATATTGCTAGTGGGCAGGAAAGGAGGTAAAAGGAGACAATTTCAGAGAAGAAAAATTTTCCATCGCTACCTGCATTTGAACCCAGGACCTTTGAATGAGAGGCAAACATTTTAACCTCTAAGCCACAAGAGCCCCCCCCCCCCCCCCCTTCAAATAAAAAACTTAAAGTTGAGTCAAATCCTATGCATTTTGAGACATATACTCCCCACCCTTTCCTCCAAAAAACCAAAGTTTTGTTGAAGGAATAGTGTCTAGAAGGCTTATACTACCAAAAAAGAGGCTAACAAGATGGTAAAATTGTCAATGAATTTCTTCAGTTCCATATTCCACATAACAAAAAACAAAAACAAAGCACAGTGAACCACTGGTGAAGCATGCAAGAACCTTTTCAGAAAAGGCACTAAGTATCTTCCCTTGCCAACTAAACAAGCAATCAAATTATTTATTCTCTGTCAGTTAACAACCATATATGACAACAGGAGAAACAAAGCCAGTGCACAGGTACATAAAACTTCAATAAACACTTTCAGGTCATTAAAAAAAATATGAGCAATACAAATTAACTTTTAAGTCCAGACTTTCATTAATAGATGTAAGAGGAGTATTCTATGAATTAAGTGGCAGGATAGAATAAGAAATGAAGAGCTGTGGGAAAGGACAGGACAAAGGGATATAAACGTAGAAATAGGACTAAGAAAGTGGCGATGGACGGGACACACCTTAAGAAAGCCCAGCGGAAACATCACATGACACGTCACTACAGTGGAACCCACAGGGAGCATGAGGCAGGGGTAGACCACGGGAAACAAGGAGAAGATGCATGGAAAGGGACTTGAGAGAGAGATGAAGCTCACTCGAACAAGCTTGGAAAGATGGCCCAGGACAGAGATAAATGGAAGGAGCTTGTATGTGGCCTATACCCTACCAGCAGGGGTGAAAGGCATTGATGATGATGATGAAATTACCTTTAGGTGGCTTTGTAATGGGAGGATCACAGCATGGCATGTGGAAGCCTCGGTCACAGAAATCACAGAAGAGCATGTCATCCTGAAAGACGAAAAAATGGAAATTAAGTTTCACAGACATAAGTTGAGACACTACAACCACCTCAAAGAAAAGCCAGTGGTTGGTGGTCAATATTATGTGGTCTGTTCCCTTTTTTAAGCAATATATGCCTCCTTAACCCCTTAACAGAAAAAAGTTATCAAAAGATCATGTTGCCCCACCTATGACTACCATTATCAACACATGGATAAATAAAATGAGACATAGAAGAGACCAAAGGATAAATTGCAAAATAAAGCTTTTCGTCAACTGATTGTGTTCGTTTTTTGTAGTTTTTTTTGCTGCCCTTTTCCCAATTCTTAACTTTGTAAAAATAGCATGCCTAGCGGATCATACCCCCTATAACAAAAGATATAGACCAAATATCTTACTGAACGATACCCTGGCCTCCATGGTTCTAAATAGTTTGGCCTACCATGCTGAGAACAAAAGCAAAACAAAACATGCAATCTACAAACATTCATCTAATACTACCAGGGATCTTCTAATCTTTTCATTTAAAACTAATAGTCAAAAAGAAGCTAACATACTAACTGATATAATAATAGCTTTATAAAGTAGCAAACTAAAAACATTTACCTCTCTTCCTGATTTTCCACAGAATGAACACTTTTTGCAGTTGATGCACTGCCAGCGCAATTTGCGCACCTTTGCAGCAAGTTCTTCAGAAAACTTCAAACATGAAGGATGACCTAAAGATATACAAATAATTTGAACAAATTTTAATCCAATATCAATTAGCATGTAAACCCTCTGTTAAAGGGTCAGCTTTCAATCAATGACACTCAACACTTTATAAAATCACATTCAATTGAAAAAATGAGAATACTTGCAAAGTCACATTAACAACATTGTCATAGCATTTTCCATCTGCCTGTGAATAGTGTTGGGTCAGGATAGCTTTTCAGCATCTGTGATTAATGAACGACTTGTTAATACTTCAGTTCTTCACACTTAAGATCCTATGGTTTTTGTTTTGTTGTTTAAATAAGGTTTTACGGAACTCCCAACTGCATATGGTCATATGAGGGCCAAGGGGTGGATGTCAACAAGTTCAAACGGGGTATCAGGCTAGATCTGCTCACCTCACTAGCCTCAACAGCACAAAGTCTGCCTCAACTATCAAGGCATCCCGGAAACAGCAGTTCACAACAGAGTGACAAACGTACAAAAGAAAAAGAGGATGAGGAAATTTAAGAAAACATAATTTTTACTGCATTAAAGTCACTGCTCTAAAGGACTACATTTGGCTAAGGTCCAACATTTTAGATTGCAAATTTCACAACTTAACCCCCTGATCAACAAGCAGCAATTTTTCTGCCCACTGGATCACAGATCACCCACTCTCGTGAATGCAGTCATGTCTCCGTTATAAAACTAAATGAATCGGCACAGTGTTTGCCCCAGACGGAATTACGCTCAGGTGTGAACTCATCAAGGTGTTTGTTTTCTCCAAACATTGCACTCACACTTGAGCCAATTGGCTCACTTATTTCACACGTTTGGTTGGTAGGGCCTTACGTAAATGGAAAGCTATAAATTTTGGACACGAGTGGAACAATGGGATTGATGTAGATCTGTCTTCAGACTGAAGATTGGATAAGTGAAAATGGCGCACTTTAAGGCATTGTGATGAGCAATGAAGGTTCATACTCTTTGCTCATCACGAGTCTTAAACCAACACAGGGGGCAGGGCTCCCCTTTGGGCATATAACGCATTAAACCTGCTGATTACCCCCCTTTAAGTTTTGGTTGAACGTGAGCTTTACTTTTTATAATTTCATTTCGGGGGTCTGCATACGCTTTAAAACGTAGGTGGTGTGCATCTGGCAAGCAACATTTCCTCCCTTCTCTATCCCAAAGCCGAGTCAATGATTTGACGACACACCCACACACATGCACGACAGTCACCTTCTGTGTCAGAAGAAGTCGAATAATCGACTACTTAACAGCTGCGCGCAGTTTCCGACAACACAGGCTTGCTTCAGCACAGAAGCTCCGCCCACATTCTGGTCGCTCACATTTGCCGGTGTCGTGCCTTGAGTTTACCCCTGCCATGAGATTACCCCCATCCTTCTTTAACACACTAGTAAACATGAACTGTCCGTCACGAAAGTGTGGAAAGACTGGAATGTGAACCTTGGGATGGCTCTGAAGAATAATGAATCAGTCTATTTTCCAAACCTGCCACTCATCCCTGGCCTAAACCTCAAGCATCCCTATTTTCCAGATTTTGATCGCGTGTACCCTGATTTTTTTGGTTTAATTTTTTGTTACGCCTGTTATGCCGAATTTTTCTAAAATCTTACTCTTGCCTTCTTTTTTGTCGTGGGAAGCACTCGTTAAACTTTTTGTCAGGGTAAACTCGGAGCACTATTTTCCTGAATGTCTATGTCGAATATAGTAGTTGAATCACCAAAAGTTGTCTTGGATCTTCGCTCACACGTGTTATTTCAACTATAATGGATTGGTAGTAGTATTGACTTGGCATTTCGACGTAAGACATTTTCAAGATCTACTTTCGCCAAAACATGCTTTGTCCGAGTTTTGGTTAGCCGGGCCCGCCATCAAGACCCGTCAGTAAAACTGTTTCAATCACGCGTTCGCACCACGTGACATGACTTCGGCGTGTGAGTTCCGCGTGTGTCGGGGATCGTCGTTGACGGGGTCAATTTAAGTTCATGCACACCCGTTGAAGCGTCTTTCGGGACTTATCCGGGGGTGAGGGGGTGGCGTGCAAAACACTTGGACTAGGAGACCTTGACATGATACTTCAGGATTTTTAAAAAAATGATAAAACACCCACAGGCACGCGCGTGCGCTCACACACTCATACATCACACACACGCATGCGCGCAGAGGGAATATACATGGATATAATATAATGATGGACACCCCTGGATTTTTTTAAAGTCAGCTTGACAGTGACCTAAGTGATTTGTCGTTGATCCCGACTTTTTTCACCAAGTCCCAGTTTTTTCCCCCACTGAGATCCTGACTTTTAGATTTCATAGAGTGGCAAGTGGCAGGTCTATTTTTCTTGGAGTATTATAGTCGAAGTTGACCCCTTTTGGTTTATCAACTTTATTTTATTTTTGATAGACCCAACTGCTTAACCACCACCACTCTTCCTCCCTCCAAATGGACACAACTGTAATTCTAGTCAATATTACTCATTTATTTCTTAAGCTAATTATAATCGTTAGAATTCAGTCATAGTCATGGCCACTCTATGTGTGTCTGGGTGAATGTCCGTGTGAGTTAAAAGTTTGCAAGCAAAAAATCTTACTATAAAATTATGAGATATTGACTCTTATCCTTTAAGTTTCTAAAACAAGGGTTTAAATACCCCTTAAAATAGAAAACCAAAGGGAGAAGGAACCTCTTAAGTTGGCCTGAAAAGGGGAGCCCTGAGGGGGTCAAGTCAGTTCATTTCAAAGTAAAGAATGTTCTTTTTACAGATAGTGGGCTTGACCATGATTTCCCCCACCATGGATTTTCCCCATGACGAATCAGTTAAGATCCCGCATTTTCCTCGCTTCTAAACACCTGAATCATATATAATATTTGTGCAATAAAACTAAATGTGTCAGACAAGGAGGACTGAATGCTATGGTAAAACAACGCCACCACTCAGAGAACGAGCGACACTTCTGTCACAAGTTCATGTTGACGTCCATTGTTACTTTGTTACAGACTGGGTAAACAGTGACCACTCATCTCACTTCAGATTTGTGTATGAGTTCTGGGCGGGGCTTATGGGTTATGAGGGATCACACGCTTACCTCACCAGCAGTTGAAAATTTGTTACATGTACCTATTGGTCAACAGTAGGAGGGGTCTATGCAACATGATCGGTTGGAGGGACTATATGACCTAACGACAGGCGATTGGATTATGATGGCTCGCCCACAGCGCCAGGGACCAATGCATACTTTATGACAAAACATAATGGAGTCACTAAGGTAGCCGTCTAAAACAAGGTGTCATTGTTTGGTGAGATAGGGGTTGTGTGCTAAAATTTGGTGGCCGTGGCCGCGTCGGACAGATGCCCGTTTTACACAGTTAAATTATATAGAAAAAACGCAAGGGGGGAAATAAAAAGTGGCCTTTTGTACAGGTGACGGTCTTATAGAGGTGGCCGTCAGGGCAGGGTTGACTGATGTCAGTGGCACTGGAGTCTTGTGCGACGGATATTTCAGTCTGTTCTTATTTATTTATATTTTCCCCTTAACATATTCCACTATATAAACTAAATAAAAATGAATCCTGTTTTGAGCCTGAGAAAGGGCCTAGGACCAGAATATCGACTGTCAGGAACCAGTCTGGGTGTCATGATTCATATAATAAACGTGAAAGACAAAAATTATTGCTCAAAGCAGAGTAGATCTAATAACTTGAATGACTCAAGTAGACCGATTCAGTGAGAGAGGTGTAAGAACTATGGGAGGGCAAGATGCAGTGAAACTGAAATCTGTCAATCTTGAACAGAAGGCTAAAATATAGATATAATCTACTACCACCCACCCAATGAAACGCTAACCCTGAAGTTAAAAAACGGCTTACTGGCTTACAAGGTATGACGGATCCCGATTCACAAGGCCTGCACCACTCGCGCTTTGCAGAAAGCTCTTGTAGTCATAGTAATCAAAATTCTAAACACAAAAATTTGCCTCCAAGTTCACTTTTTGTCCTCTGGTGCTGCCTTCAACCACCCTCTCCCCCGAGCGAATCTTAAAAAAAAAATCAACAATCCCCCCCATTCCGGAGTCCTATACTTCGCAGCACTGAGACTTCTACTCACAATGTGATGCGAATACGCGCAGGTTCACTGACCGGTCATGATGGCGAGCCCATCAAGACACTTGTATAACTTTCTTTTCTTTTACAAGTGACAGCACAGGACAAATATTGATTTATTTTCATGTCGAAACAGCGTTTGTAATGCACAACCTGCATGTTAACAAATGTTGCGTTATCATACTATAACCCGCAAATTTCTGGGTGGTAACGAAAGCGAAAGTAGATTTTGATTTTCCCGATCGAGCCTCGCTATCACACATACACTTCTTAGGCTGTACTTTCTGTGGAAACTTACGTCTTTCAATCTAATCCATCTATCCTTCAGATATTCTACACCACCACAATAGAAACTGATAAATACTGGTATCACTTGCTATGGTAGCGATTTGGGAAAGCAGTACATAAAAAAAATAAACATGTAGATCAGAAAGGCATCAAGAACAATTGGTAGAGATCTAAGTAACTTTGAATATCTGCACAAGACAAACGATCTAAAAAAGGCAGAAATAATGCTTAGTGACAATAGCCACCCACTGACATCGGAATTTCAACTATTGACCCGCAGTAAACGATACATTTCGTACTAACTGCAGTGAGGTTACTGAACACAGAGTGCAGAGAGAGAGAGAAGAGAGAGAGAGAGAGAGAGAGAGAGAGAGAGAGAGAGAGAGAGAGAGAGAGAGGGGGGGGAGGGAGAGAGGGGGGGAGAGGGGGAGGGAAAGGGAGAGGGAAAGGGAGAGGGAAAGGGAGAGGGAAAGGGAGAGAGGGGAGAGAGTGCACCTAACCTTTATAACGTCTTGTGCCTTTGTTAACGACCAAGACAAATTTCTCCCTGCGAGATGAATAAAGATTGTCATTGTCATACACTTTCGTTTGCCGCCATAGCCGCCTGTTCGAGCGAAAAGTACTGTAAGACCGGTAAGAGCCGAAGGAATAATAAAATCATAATCGTGACAAGCAAAAATGAACTACAGGGCATTATCGGATTTGGTTTCATGTATTTTCCATGATCTTTCCCGGGGAAATGTACAGATTTCCTCAAATTCCCGCCTGACAATCACCCTGTGATTAGGAATATCAAAAAAATGAAATTTCACTTTAAACTTACCACTGCTTCCACAATCTGCACAGGAGATCAAATCTTCATATTCTCCCTCTCGATTTTTCTCAGCATCTTCACAACAGAAGCTGCACAAAATAAATGGTGCATGGCGTTTCTGAGGATTGAATGTAAAGAAACATAATCAAAATCTTGATGGGAGACAAAAGCAGTAATAAAATATTATAGGAAGGAAAAAAGCTTTTTGAATGGCAAGCCAATTCACTCTTTTATAAAAAGTCATTGTAACAAACTCAGAAATGAAATCATCAAGAAATCTCACTATACATTCTTGTTGTTAATGAATTTATGCCAGTTAACTCAAATCAAAACCTCTCTCACATTCTTTATTTACAACACAAAACATGAATCCCCACACAGTGTGACTTTAAACAATGGATTGACTGTCATAGACTTGAACGTTAATGCCAAAAAGTTCGACAATCAGTTTGATGGTTAGAAGTGTAAAAAAACTTTTAAATACAAATTACAAGGATTACCACCAGCCACACAACATGAAATACAGCTAGATTCATTTGATTTCACAAGAAAATACCTTATTTCGCTCAAACGGCAAAATCACTTCAAAATTCGCCTCCTCCAGACTGACAGACTGCATAAGACCTTTTCCCTTTGGCAGCTTGATTAGTTTTCCAGTCTGAACCAACTGGCCTCTTTGAATGCCCTTTCGCACCAATATGCGAAGGTTTCTTGTCAGTTCTGCAGCACCATTGCCTTTTGCATTGTTCTTGGAGATAATGTATTTCTCTATAGCTTTTATTGTGAGTCCTTTGGAATCTCTTGATTCTTTCAAACATTGTATCACAGCTTTGATTAATTCCGGTTTTTTTCCAACATTAACAGCTTTTGCTCTACTAGGTGTAGCGCTTAATGCTGGGTCTTTGTAGGTGTAGTCATTATTACTTATCACACGAAGAATTTGACCACACTTGACAGCTAATTCAAGTTGTTCCTCAATAGAATCTTCTGACACTTGATGATTCTGACGAATAGCACTAACTATCCGTTCTTGATTAGGTCTCTGTTTTTGGTGCTTAATCTTATGCACAGCTTCCAAGATCCACTCTAGATAAGTGGAATTCACTTCTATGCTTTTGTCTGCTTCCTTTACCATGATGTCAGTTTTAGCATAAAAGCAAGAAAAAAAGAATGAGGCTGCCACAGCCCTCCAATTCAAGTATTTGTGATATCACATTGCTGCTTTAGACCCACATCACTTTTGATAAATAACAGTTTTGCAAAAGTATCTAAACCACTTGTCTGAATCTTGGAGAATGAAGTTCCATTATCCAATTTCTTGCATTTTCACCAAAAGAAGGCTGGACATCATCATGCCTGCAATTAAACCAAAAAAAAAGAACACAAATCAAGGACCTTTCAGTGACACAAAACGCCAGACATGAAAATATTTCCTACCCCAACCTCCTCATTCCATCTTCAGTAAAGAAATATAAACGAACAATGAATGGCATATTCATTACTTGAGCAATAAATGGCAACATGGCCATAGCGACAGCACGGTAGAGACATACTTTTTAAATCGGCATCAGTGATGCATGACTTAACATTCTTTTGACGTCCCTTGGCTATAGACCTGCATGTGAGCCTCAACCAGATTGTCTGAAAATTTTGCGCACCCCCCCCCCCCAAAAAAAATAAGTTTCTCTACTGTGCTTTGGGATTAATGTTTGAAGTGCCGGTATGTTTCCCCGTTATACATATTATGGTCGCTTTTTTAAGGACAAGCGGGCTAACCCAGATTTCGGGGGTTTCCAGAAATCTTGACCTACACCAAAAGTGGGCATTGCCTATAGAGTGATCTCCTTTTTAAACCTAGTGCCTAGAGGTGCAAATCTATGGCATTGCCCTACCCATAGGAGAAGTTTGGTTTCATTTGTGTGTATATTTGTTTGGTTATAGAGATAACTGTCTTTGACTTTCAAAGAAACTGAACAAGGGGCAAAAACTTTACTTTCGATTTTGTCGAAACAGCATTTTTCGGGATAGCCCCCTTGTGCATACAACGATCATATATTATAAGAAAACCTGTGGGTTTCCTGTCAATACTGAACAATTTCGTGTGTTGGTTTTTGACAATGACAATGACAATGTCAGTCTTTATTCATCTCACAGGGAGAAGTTTGTCTTGGTCGTTAACAATGGCAGTAGACGTTACAACGGTTAGGTGGTCCCACGCATACCCACAACAAGACAGGACATTAGTAAATATATGTCTCACGTGCTGGAACAACCCGCTCCTTAAGACATTCTCTCTCTCTCTCTCTCT